GCCTATCGCGTGGATTGGGTTTATTATTCGCTATCCATATTCATCAAGCGTTTTTTGTGCGATATTCATATGATTGCCTGAACCGTAAGAATCATTAGAAAAGTAACATAGGTGTTTACTGTCAAAACCCTCCGAAGAGTTTTGTCATGACCGCAAGCCAGAACTGCTTTCTTCGATACGCTATCACCCATCGCACTGGGCTATTCGTGATTGCACATGATATGGCGGTAACCTTGCCTTACCCTTCATGACGACTGTGAAACACAAAACCTGTGGACATCGTGAGTAACTGGACATCAATCGTGAAGATAAAGCAGACGGAACGGTGTAACGAACTATCGTTAAGCAAAATAACAGTAGTGACGAATCAGTTAACGGCCATCAACTTCCTCCTCTCCTTATCATGCTCGCTGGGAGTATACGACTTGTTATAAACCTGCGATGAGACACCATCAAACCCATGTCGCCAACGGTCGAATGCCTTACAATCCGCGTGCCGTCCCCTCGAGTTCTCTCCCATTCCCCAGAGGCCACCCTAGGGGCAAAGCACTTCCCAATGATGAGAGGCAAGACAAGTGTGGCCTCAGTGTACACCTTCACAGGCTTGGCATCGATACGGATCTTACCCCAGCTCACGGCCTCATCGGGGCGAGCACCAGAGTCGCAGCCATCGAATTCTTGTGCAGTGTTGATGTACCTGCCCACATATCATCATCTACCTCCTGATACCATTGCGTACACAACATGGTCGGCACCATTCCTCATCAAGTTGGCATTCATAGCGTGATGCTTTACCACACCTCCGCCTAAGGCCAGAACGGTTGAAGACCGGTAGAAACGGAAAGCTTACCGATGACGATAACTCCGGTATGGCGCGCCTTCACAGATTCATCATTGACCTTCCGAATGTCAGCCGCGATATCGACTATGAATCCAGGACGCTTATACGAATGGAAGTAACTGCGAAATTGAATCTCCTCTAACAAAATTTGGTTATGATTAGGTACATCATGTCGCCGATCGATCCATCAGTGATGGCAGGGCAGAAAACAGGGATGTTGTTTTTGTAACACCAATAGTAGACCGAGCGTGGGTCGTTGATCTCCTTACCGAAACGATGAATCTGATATAAGGAAAGTAACCATCGCAACTGTTATCCCCATGGTGATGGTACCATGGTGCTGGGCGTCCAAATAACTCCGTCCTGTTCCTGCTCATCATGCATCTTGTCGATGATAGGCTCGATCCACTCCTCGAACCTGCACACTTCATTGCGTTCCATTTCTATCACTCACGGCTTACTTGCAGTAGTTATCATTAGGGACGATCAGATTTCCCGTGCGGTTGAGTCCTCTACGACGTAACGTTTTACCGTCAAGAGCAAAGTCACCGAGATGGAAATCCTGTAGTCCAGCAATACTGTATGTGAATTAAAGGGGACCTTCTCTTACCGCAAGGCATTTGATGAAATCCTCTTCGATGCCACCAGCCGTAGTAATAAACACTTGCGCCTATCGAGAGTTGATTGGCCCCATCAGTGCGGCTGTTGTAATGCCTACCATATGGTGCTCAGCTATATACCGGATGAGCTCACGGCATCCACTAGAGATGATATTGGAAGTGTACGAAAGCCATACCTTCGTACGTACGTTCAAACGTGCCTCTTCACTTCGGAACCTGCAAGCCGTAAATGCCACCGATGCATCACATCGCCACTGTGAGTTCTCTCAAGATGCCCATAGAGTGTTACTCCTCGTCCTCATCATCAGCAACAGGCTCGTCATTGAGACTCCAATCCAGCATCGCATCGATCTGCTTGAACGCCAAGCCAAGATTGGTGGCTTGAAAGCCTAGCAACAACTCCCAGTGAAGAAAACTACAACAATAAAGGGGAGAAAAAGAGCACCTGTATACATCATCTGATCCATCATCGCATTGAAGTCGACTCCGTTATTAAAATCGTACCTACCATCGAAGAAGCGACACTCTTTAAAGACGACAAAGGCTCTGTTGGACTTACCCCTGAATGACGGGAGTATCAACCGTTTCGCTCGAGAGGAATACAGCATCATCGGCGATCTCGGGGATCTGTCCCGAGGCTACTGACTCTTCTTCAGATTTATCAGCTCCCATAGATAATGCAATGACTACTTCCAACTTGTATGATATGTCGGACGACTTCAACGCGACAAGGAGACTATGTTCGACCCGTTTCCAAGAGTTACCACTATTTCCTGAGCGTTGAGGGCTCGTTGTCACCCACGTTGTGATGGGGCATCACTAGGAGTGATGACCCTCAGCACACAAAAGGAGACAACGCTTAAGCTCGGAAGTGTCACAGGAAGCACGCAATAATACAAGTCTTCAAACTTTCAGTATGTGAACAAGAACATCGATACCCCATAAAGAACAGTAGCGATAGGCCTATGTCACCATTAAGAGGAGCTGACAGAACCTAACCACCTCTACATTAGACAGAACAGGACTGCCAAAAGTAATGGAGTTTATGACACGATACGTAAAACGACTTATAAAAACGTTAAATGCTGGTTCGGTTGACGTTTGCCAAAATATATCTACGGACGTCAAGAGTAGACGTGAGCACAGACTAAGCAGAGGTTACGTCGGCGGCTGGGAGGAGACAAATTGTGACACAATGCTCTCACCAATGTGGCGCTGTCACTACACTGTGGCATCGAGCGTCCCGAGCCTATACCAACTCAACAGCACAACACCGCATTAAACTCAAAGGTCATCATATGCTATGACGCCTCTACCCGCCTCCGCCTGTCGAGCTTCCGGCCGATCCTCATCCTTCTCCTGTAGCGACTCCACAACCGTAGTGACCGCTGCCGACTGCTCTTCCGAATCAGCGGCGACCTGCTCATTAGCTCTCCGTGTGGCTGATATACGACGATATCTGAGGAGCATGAGCAGCATTCAAGGACATCCTAGGAAGCGATACTGCAATACCGTTTATAAGTCTCGGAATCAGGACGAACTCGCCGATCACGCCCCATATCATCCTGCACCACTACGAACTCCTCTGTCGAGTCTTCTGGTACCTAGTTCACCATCACTCCAACCATCTGAGCATGCAAGTCTCCTTCTTCCTTACCAGGTCGGCCTCGTCAATGACGAGCTCCTCCTCGAGAACATCCGTGTACTCATGGGCTGCCACTTCTCGTTGTGACACCGTCCTGATAAGAGGGATATACCGGTGGCTCACAGCGGTGATTAGCCTCACACTTCACCATCCTCATCGTTGGTGCTTGCCTCGGCATCAGGCTGCTGAGGGGAAGCGACAACCGCCTCAGATGCCTCTACAGGAGGAGTATACCTCCGTCGCTTTGGCTGGCGTACAGGGCCTGACAGTACGAGCTCATCGAGCTTATATGACAGTCTCGACCAACCCCAACAGTACTACTTTGAGGAACACCATTAAACCATCCATCAGCATCCCTATCTTCTGTCCCCTCATCATCAGTCTGTGTACTCACTGTCGCCCTAATTACCGCGTTGTACGTAGCCGTATCATAGAATCTACAACATCGTGAATCCCTCCACGTTGAAGACCCTACTACTACTACCTTACGAAAGGCTTGAACTCTCTCTCCCTCTCCAATAAGGCATCCGCCATAGTCCCTCCATTCGGAAGGTCTTCCTGCCGCAACTCCAATCCGTTACGTGGCGAGTCAGCGTCGGCGTCCATTCAATCACTCCCCCTAAGACTAATCCACTGAGCCATAGGTTCGGCCGACACTACCCCCTAGAGTACTATAACACAACAAGCTGCGAATAATACAGAGAAACTGATCCGCACCAGTGTCACCACCGTCACTGTCACCATCTTTTCTCTAACACTTAGTGCCAGTAGGGAAGAAGCTGAAGTTGTACCTGACCCAAGTCATAACTATACAAAATATACGCCCAATGTTGCAGTACCTCTTCTTAGTAGGCACGATGTCGTATATATCCGCATCGCCCGCGTACTTCCTCACATACTGACGGTCCCCGGGAGCGAAAACAAAAGCTGCCAGAAAAATCCATTTTTTTCACCAAACTTTACTACCGTCGTGCTTCTTAGTATCAGCGCCATCGATTCCAAATCTCTGCCTTATTTCATCATCCAAGACTTTCCATGACCATTTACTACCATATAAACCACCGAACAGGCCTAGAATAGCGCATAATAAATACAGTGGTAATCTCACTAAGCTACTACCACTAAAGGAGGTCGACCAAGCTTCCCAGTATATGGCAGTCGACTGCAAGCCGTTCTCCATCCCCCCACCACCCAAGAGGGAATCCTTGACCAAGTCAGAGTATCTCAGAGGTGATGACGACATTACCAACCACAATGATCAAAAAACCTTCAACGCAATTAGTGGACTGTGAAACCATACCATAACTTCGTCACATTCTACCGTGTCGAGCCGGCATGCACCCCCCTCTTGAAGCGCGATAACACAACAGCATCAGCGGAGATATCATCAAAAAACATGCTAATACCCTATAAATATCACTAAGCCCCCTTGTGGGATGCGACTCGTCTCCCAAGTCGCTGTACGAGAGAATAAATAGTATATCATGAGACCACTGTATTAGAGATCACCACGGGGTCTAACCCAGTTAATCTTGTGCTCCGGAGCCTCGAGGTAGAACAGTTTCATATCAATACGGTACCTACCTTCGAATGGAGGGGGGGAGAATCAATAAGCCCAAAGCCTCACTGTCTATGCTGGAGAACAGCCAAATGTCCAAAGTAGCAGCCGAGGATGATACCAATGAGCCAATCGCGGAAGTAATGACGGGAATAGTAATCACCTTGAACCCTCTGTCGGAAGGAATACCACTTGCCACACCAGGTCACCTGAAATATAAAAATGAGTGTTAGAAATGATGATAGTGTACCGTACGTAGTCCTCGTGTTTGATCTCGTCAACTGTACGGTAGGGTAAGGGGATGCGATGACGATAGATCTTCAGAGGCTTGGCAAACTTGTAAAACATCTCTTCGTAGTCGTCATAGGTCATGTCGCCCATGATTAACTGATCAACCAAGACAACATGTACTCATACCACAATAATCTCAGATCACCTTGTCGGTGTAGGGCTTCAGTTCAGGAGTGTCATCACCAAGCTTCTTGAGGAAAGGAAAGTATTGAGGCGGCACGTAGTAGGTGTGGCGAATTTGAGTCGCTGAAGTCGATGCAATACGAGAAACATGATATTCGTGTGGTGATGACACTTACAAACTTCTGGTGGAACATGAGCAGGGACACCGAACTCATCCCGGGGGATCTCTTCGAACTCGAAATCAGCCTCACAGTCGTAATTAGGATCGTCGTAGTACGTAACGTAATGATAAGGGTATCCTACAGGGATCAACATCAACAGCGTGCGTATGTTCAGAAATGGCTACCTCCATTATACATGGTACGCCTCTGTAGAGCCAAGCCCAGACCAACAGCGGAGTTAGACCACCTATGACGGATCAACCCACGGTTCATATGCCCGAGCAAACGGAACGTCATTCAAGCGTGATCAAGAGGTCTTCCCTCTTCTGCCACCGCCGCCTTCGAGGAGATGAAAAGTAGCGCTCGCCATGATGAGCGATTATTTATCCAATTCCTTGTTAGGAGTGTTGGAGTCGATATGCGGGTACTATTCCGCAACACAATACCACAGTCGGGTGGTCGAAGACTAGTACGTACGAACAAAAGGATACGCAGCGCAATAGTGTGACGCCTCTTGACGTCTTACTAATCCTTAACGGCTCTTTCAGTGTGGATCACTGAATTCTCCCCGCCAGGATGTGAGCGATCTACTGATCAAGACTGTAATAAGCGAAGAAGTAATTGGATAATAACAGCGTCGCACGACGCAGGTGGACAAGATTCACCACAGCCATTGCGGGCTTGTCTGCACCTTGGATCTAGTGCGATAAATGATGACTCAGCAACTGAATGTCACCCCTATGTGTGAGTAGAGTTGAGGAGTGTATTAGGTTCATCTTGGTACGGAAAATGAAATGCAGCTCAGCAGAATCGAGCTTGCATTTGACCGTGAAGCTTAACGAAAAACTACGAGAGATACTCTGAGCATTCACCGTCTCGGACCAGAATAATTCGGTGGAGGAAGGACTTGAACTGGTGGAAGATGATCCAGCGTCCAAGCATAACCATCGGGCGACAGATCTGGCCTTGGAGTGGAAGTGGGCCCAGCTTGTGCTTCAGCAGCTGTGGATGATGTGAGCGGTGGAACTTTAATGAGGTTAGATACCCAAACACGACTAGTAGAATGGTTAGCGCCTCGGATAATGACTGTACCTTTGTGGTTCTCGTCGATAGACTCCACAATAAATGGGCCGGCCACTCTAGTCGCTAGTTTAGAAGCCTGACCAGTTAGGTGAAACACGGTATCGCCCTTCTTCAGATCACATGGCCGGCCGTGATGTGCCAATGTTCTGGCCCGGCTTGCCTCCTTGAAGTTAGCCCAGTGGTTGAAGTAATCCAACATACGCAGAGTGTAGACCTTCTTACCCTCATCACGGATTCTTCGAGCCACTGCTGGCTGGCTAACGGATGTGAGCTTCTGGGCGAGACTGTCGACTGAGGCGTTTTCGGGGTTGTAGAAGTGGTCAATGTCATAGTGTGGGTGGGCTACTAGTCTAGGGCTCAACCAACAATCCGAACTATAGGGGGCATCATTGAGATGATCAACCACTTGAACCAGCGCGTCGAACCACGATCTGGTGCCAGCGATATTGGGGTCCAACAGACAGGCCTTCAAGCACCGGCTTAACTCCCTGTGGGAGCGCTCCCAATAGGCAAGGTTAGGAGCATATACCGGACATGCCAGTTGCAAAATAGATCTGTCACGACACCACCGAGCAGTGTGGGTTGAGACAAATGTCTTTGCATTATCAGTGATGAGGACTGTGGGACGATAAGCATTCGCATAGAGTAGGTCCAGTGCAGAGCATACAGTCGACGACGAGACATTACCATAGAGAGGTTGGACCCTTAGAAAGCCAGATGCTAAATCCGTCATAACGAGAGTAGCGACAATGCGATCCGAAGTCGCATCGTCGACCTTCGTATAAGGTAGGTATATATCACATGCTTGGACTTGCCCAGGGCGTAAATCCGCTACGTGATGGAGACCTGCACTCGAGTTGAACCGGCGGATAGCATTGCTCTTCAAGCATGGAATACAGCACTTGAGAGCTCTGGCTACTGTGCGGCGTTGCCTAGGCCAATAGAAATGGTCTGATAGGCGATGAGCAAGTTTTTGAGGTCCGAGATGATGAGACTCCAGATGATGGGTGATGATGATCTTGTCGATGAGGGCACGAGCATGACTGGAAATTACTCTTTGGCGTACCAAAGTTGCATCTGGCCGCTGTCGAACAATTCTGTAGAGTCTACCATCACCATCCAACTCGAAGTTAGTAGCCTGTCGTTTGAGTCTGGCCGGAGTTATACCTTGTGCGATAGAACCATCTAGAAGGTATGAGCGGATCGCACCATAGTAGCCATCCTGCACGACCGAATCGTCGATAGACTTATCAATAGTCTCCCTATCTGACTCTGTCAGAGTATGAGGGTGCATGTGGTCCTGTAAGGGGGGCGGCAATGGCCCAGCCTGAGGAGTTGTCACACACAAGACGGCGTCGCATTCGATGCCAGTGAAGGTCATATCCTCGTCGTTCTGGTTGTAGAAATGCCTCTCCTTTGGAGAATAATAAGGACGCTGATTCGGGGACGCCAGAGCTACTTCTAGGAGCTGTAGCTCGATCGCCCCTCTAGAAGGCATCCTCCCTCGTGAGCCGTCATCGGCTAGGTTGAGGGCAGATGGGAGATGTAGCACGCAGACCTCGATGGGACAGTCGATGAGTTGCTGCCTGATTCTCATTAACTTGCTTAGATCTGCCCTCGAATAGTTACACCTTCCCTTCTTGCCTATGTCGGCGAGGAGCTCGACCTCAGATTTATCTCTCATACGGCAGAGTCTTTGTATGTTGATCAGGCTGTCAGACATAATAACGGCCGATACTCTAGATGCAGATGATAGTTCCAGAGTCGAGCATAGACGGAGTAGCTCTCTGACGGCTTGGAAGAGACTGTGAAGCTCCAGTCTCGGCACCGTTGAAGTGGGAACTGAGGTCGTTTTCCCCTCAGAGTTGACCGATCTCCTGTGTGGAAAAAGCCCAGCTCTGGCGCACAGCCGAGGGCTTATTGGGAGCTCTGTTAGTTTGGTCCGCACCTCCACACACCACCCTATGTTGGATGCATCACAAGACACCAATATTTGACATGAACCATTCTCATTGACCATCGGACTCGGCTTCACCGGTATAAACCGGGGCGTGGGCGGTAGGGTTGAAGCCAGCTCCGTCCAACGATTGACATCAAGTATCAACGCCTTGGGTACCGGGTTCTCCCACGTTAATGATGGCGATAGGTTGTCGTCTTTCACAGCTTCCACGACCGACCTCCAAAGAACTCTGGCCTTCATGCTGCACTCGATATATCTCCCTAGCGGATCGTATAGGGATGCGAGTGTATGACTCACCATGCGCTTAGTCACCAAAGACGAGTTGCCATCAACGGGTAGTAATTTAGCCGAGAAAACCGGGGATAGAATGTCGTTTTTGAGAACGTAGCCGAGGAGCTTATTGTCCTTGTCTTCATCCCACGTCTGATAGCGTTTAAGCGGTGGAAAATGAAAACCACGGAGCTTTGCGGGTGCTTCGACGATGTCATAGTGCCAGTTCACCTGTGCAACC